TATCTTCATCAGTCCTGCCAGAGTCTTTCCAAAGAAGCCATTGTTTTTTTGCTTTGTTCATCTTTTTCTATTGTATTTGTTGTTGTTAACATTGAGTTCTATGTTTAACATTATTATCACTTCCTCCTACTCTGCTCGAGGTAATTCTAGTGTTCCTTTTTTCTTTACTTCTGCTATTGGAAGCTTAATCTGTTCATTTCTGTCTATTTTTCTTTTTATGCACTTTGTGTATGGTTATATTTGACAGTTAACATTTTTTTAATCCTCATACATTTAGAAATGTAAAAGCACACTTCTAAGTAACTGATAGTTCAAAGTATATGATTGCAATTGAATTTGAAGAACATTTATGACTGAATGACAATGGGACATATCAAAGTCACATTTTAAAAAATTGGAGCCCTTTGGAGCTCCTTGTGCCCCTGAGCCAGCAGGCAGAGAAAGGAATCCCTGTAGCAACTGGGGCTATTGATGCCTGTTACCAGGGTCAGGGAGAGGGGAGATTAACTTGCTGCTACACAAAGGAGGCAGTGTCTGGAACTACAGTGATTCATGTGGGTACCTCTTAGTATTTTCTTACCCACTAGTCCTGGTCAATGAAATACTGAGGCAACCCAATAAAGATAAGACGTCCCAAAACTCAGATCCCATAGGAATAAAGTCTTGGGTCACCCTACCAAATAAGGACCCTTATGTTGCCAACATGCTGGCCAAGGGTACGAGAACGCGAAATGCGTGGCAGGAGGAAATAGTTTGAACTACCAATTTAGGACCTGTGACCAGCTGACGATCCAGGGACTGGTACAGACATGTCCATATTATTTTAACCATCACCCCTCCCACTGTTTTATAGAAAGACTACTTGTGGCAGCGAACATTTTAGGTTTTAGTTATGAGTATGTCAGGGTTGATAGTGCCTTACAATGATATTGTAGCTGATTATACTTCTCATGTTCCCTGTGTAGGGAACATGGACTTTTCATTGGGATGAAGGAGAAGAGTAGACGTCTAGGGGCAAAGTGGGTGGATTGTGCCAGATGTCTTCATTTGCCTGTTCCTGAGTACTCTACACTCTTCTCCTCCCTGCTCTCTGACCTAGGAAGTTGACCTGGGTGGAGTATAGCAGACCAGCCTCTGACTTCCAATTCAGCTTGGCAGTGGGGAAATCCTCCCTCTCTCCCCAGAGAGTCAGAAGGAAGAAGGGGGGGGGTATTTATTTCTCCAGTCCGCTCCTTGCAGGGTTACTTTGGGTCAAATATGTCCACCAAGCAAAGGTCCCTGGTCCTCTCCATGTGGCCCTCTCTATTCAACTCTCCCCTTCCAGATTTTATAAACACTTCCTCTCTTTATTCTTATGGACCCAGGAATGTAACAGGTCTATCGTCCTGTCTCTGGGATATCGAGTTATGCTTTGTTGCTTTCCTACACACTGCCTTCATCTTCATAAGTAGTTCCTTTATTAAATCAAACCCTCATTGAATTATCTTAATTTGAGAATGCCATGGTTTTTACATTGGATGATGGGTCAAGAACAGTTTTCTCAAATGAAGCAGCAGCATTGCAATTGATTCTTTTTTTCATGACCTCTTCCAGGGGTATATCCCATTAACTTAGATTTCCACCTACGAAGTCTATTTCTAATTAGGTCATTTGCCATTACCTTCTACTCACTATTAATAGCAAATTGTTCAAGGCCTTTAATTAACTGATCACAAATAGTCACCATATTATCAGTGCGAATGTTTTCATCTGTGTTCATTACGTCATCACTATTATCATGATTACCAGTCAATTCTTATCTGTATTTAACAACCACTTCAGCATTTTCCTGTCATGCGAGGAATAAACAATAGATGAATCATGGAGTTCAACATTTCCCTGAAGTCAGCTCCTCTAACTTATTTACGCTTTCAGCTAATCAACTTTTTGTGCAAGAGTAAAGTTTTGTATTATCATCTTTTCACCAGTCACGAAAAAGTCTTCAAAGTCCTTATGGGCAGGTTCATTTTTCAAGCATCACTATAGACAGAGTCTGTGCCAAGCATTTGTGAAGATTGATTTATCAACATCATTCCAAACACTGGCAACAGCGTAAATGACATTCTTAAGATTGAACTCTTCCTGGAAGTCATGGAGTGCAGGTTCTCTGATTGTAGCAAATGCACAGTCTGAAAAAAGTGTATATCCTTGCTCTAAAATTTGTTGTATGCAGGCTTTAATATACATATCCCCCTGGGGAGAAAGAAAGGCTGAAACACTGCTTTCACGGGAAGTTACAGAAGGAGATGTATATAGCAGTTTTACAGGAAAGACATAACATCTTACAATTTTTTCTCCAGCCCAGAATGCCTGCAATGCATTTGTACCAGTGATGGAAAGTGGTTATTCATGGGTGAGAAAACATGTCTCTGGTTACGCATGTATCTTATTTGCATCACAATGGACAGGAAATTGCATAGACCCTTCAAAGATGGCACAGGAACCATGTGTGTACGTACCTGCAGCATTTGGCTTACCAAGAACTGTAAACAGGGTGGAACCAATGGGTGAGACCCTCATCAGCCATTCCGAAGAGCAGTTTTAGTCCTGCTGTTAATTGATTACATCAACGTTTTCATCAGATAATATCATAGCAAATCCACAGAGGCAATTTTCAGCAGTTTCATTATCAGCTAAAGCTTTTTCACCTCCAATGTTGACATTTTGTTTGGGTATACACGAAATAAAAAATCGTTCCCCAAAGCAACAAAATATAGAAGAACAGAGAGGCAAGTGTGGCTGGTAAGCATAACTATTTAGTTTAGGGTCAAGAACGGCCACTAAATGTGTTTTGGTGTCAAGTTTACGCAAAAATAGACTTGGAGTCTGTGTGGACTCCCTCCCTTCCTCCCACCAAGCTGTCTTCTGCTTAGTGGTTGCCAGGAATATTTTTTTCTATGTCTTTACTTTCAATGTTTCCATGTCCTTAGATTTTATGTGTCTTTCATGTGTGTGACACTTACATGGACTTGTTTTTTTTTTTAATCCAATCCGACAATCTTTTAATTGGTGCATTGAGTCCATATATATTTACAGTATCAAAATTATTGGTATATCTAGGCTTATTGTTACCAGCTGGTCTTTTGAATTCGACTTGTTTTTTTCTTTTCTCTTGTCTCTTTTTAATTGATTTCTTTTTTTCTTATCCATTTTGATTTAGGTATTGGGAAATACATATGTTCTGTTTCTATTCTTTGAATGATTTTCATTGAAATTTTACCATGCACATTTAATTTAGCAAAGCCTAACAGTTAACAATTTCTAACTCTGCTTATGAATAGCATCAGCAACTTGGAATACTTTCATTCCACCTCTGCCAGTGCAGTACTCTTATTATGCAATATTTTAGTTCTGTTCTTTTTTTAACCTGACAAATTAGACACTATAATTGCTTTATGTTCTGAATGTTTGTTTGAATATATATGGCTGTGCATCAGTCAGGGTTTCATCAGAGAAGCAGAATCATTAGAAAACATATAAAAACAAACTTGCTGTGAGGGTTCAATCTTCCTCAATGGTGGGAGCTGGTTAAACCATTGATAGGATACTTGCGTCTGCATCAGGTCTGCCAGGCAGGCAGTCAAAAATGGAAGATGCTTGTGAAGTGAGAGGAGCACAGACAAACTGGGGCTGCAGGTATGAGCTGGCACCACAAAGACAGACTGACCCGTCAGTCCCTCACCACCTCTAAGGCTCCAAGGAGGGAGACCTGCAGAAGAAACTGACGTTCTTTGTCATGGAGCTAAACACACAGCTGGCCCAGGAGAAGGACAATCCACAGGAGCTGGGACCTGATAGAGAGGGTGTTACTGAGCAGTCTGCTGATTCACGTAAGTGTTGCTCTTCTGTGGCGATGTCAACTTTGTCTCACTTCTCTGAAGACCTTCTCTTTGACTTTTGTGTTCTGAAGTTTCAGAATGGGAACCAGCAGACAAGCAACCATGTGCATGAGCTGGAACAGCATCTTATCTGAACTGAAAGAAGGCTGGTTGCTGCTTCACATTTGCCTTCCTAAGCTGTTATGAAACGTGTCTGAGCACCTATGCTGATCTGGACCCACACAGGGAAGGAAGTTCTTGGAAATCTAGTTCCAGCTTAGCTAAGTCAACACCATGCAAATCCACCACAAGGCTTACCATTGTCTTGGTTTATTATTTGTTCCAGCATCTCAGACTATCCCTCAAGGACCATTTTCCTTCTTCATGAAAAATGGACTTTAAAGACACTTTTAGTTCAGGTATGTTGGTGGCAAGTTCTCAGTTTTTATCTCTAGATGTCTTCATTTCACTCTCACTAATGAAAGATGATTTCATATAATTCTTGATTGAAAGTTATTTTGTCTCAAAAATTCGAAGCTATAATTACATTGACTTTGGCTTCCATGGGTGCCATTCAGAAATCCACTTACCATTCTAACTGTTGTTATTTTGTAGGGATCTCAGCTCTCTCTGACTGCTTTGAAGATCTTCTCTTTGTCTTCGGTGTTTTGTGGTTGTTGTAGCCAGTTGTGCACCACTTCTTATTTGCCCTGCTTACCCTGGTATGCTTCTAATAGCCATAGATTTAAGTTTTTTATCACTTTTAAAATACTGCATCTGCCATCTATTTAAATATGTTTCTTCTCAGTTCTCTATATTTTCTTTTTTTGAGGTTTTGATTTTAAAAGAACTCTCATTCTGTTGTTCATATCTCTTAATTTCATTTTCATATTCTCCAACTACTTGTGTTATATTTTGGGTAATTTCTTTGGTTTTATCTTCCAATTCACTACTGTTCTCTTCACCTGTGTGTAATATACTCTCTAACTCATCCACCAAGTTTTTTGTTTCAATAGATACACACACACACACACACACACACACACACACACACACACACACACCTCTATACATATGTATATGTAAATATAGTATCATTCTATCATTCTCTTACAAATCTAACTGGTCATTCTCTATAACTCATTCGTTGTTATGATTTTTTTCTTTATTTCTTTAAACTTTTAAGTCATATAGTTCAAAAATCCACAGTCCCTGGGGCTCTAAAGCTATTGTTTGTTGTCACTGCCTATTCTCCCTCACAGAGATTTGGTCATCTTTGACAATGAGCCTTCTGCTTCATCTTAGTCTGAGTGACTCCCATCATCCTAAACTGGGGACACGTTACTCCAAAGGGGACAATTTTCTGCTTCTGCTTGGACCCAGGGATGCCACTTTCCCAGAGCCACCTCACCTCTCACCTTCAGGGCCTTGACCAAACATAGAAGCCCCTGGTCCAGAATCCCCATTTTGACAGCAGCACTGCTTCTGTATTCCAGAACAACGCTAAAATAGGGCCAAATGGATTCTGGCCCCAACTAACGGGTGGGGGTTGGGGGAGGGTCATTGGAGAACCCCACTATTTCTTGTGAGGATTTTGATTCTTTGGGGAGTGTGTCCTGTTTAGGGTCTAGTTGTTTTGTGGCACCCGGGCCCCTCAATGAATCTGCTCAGGCCAATGTTAGAAGCCAAACAATTGGGTTCGTGTGAACAGACGGTTGCAATTTTTCTTAATGGATGTTTTCTCGGATGTCCCTTCACTGCCCCAGGGACACCGATGGCTCAGGGGACTGTATTATAGACCCTGTAGTCATCCTCCTGGGTGACGTGCAGCTTCCAGGGGAAGAGGTGCTTCTGAGAGGGGAGAGCTTGGGCCTGCCTCATCATGAGCCGCACGTCCTCATCAGAGAGCAGCCGAATCAGGTCACCATCAGCATCCCGGTAATTTAAGGCGATGTCCTCTCTCTGGAACTCCCGCCTGGGTGGGAAAGTTCAAGGTGAATGAAAATTCCAGAAGGCTTAGGGCTAAGCATGGGGGCAAGGAGCAGGCAGAGAGAGTTTTAGGGCCTGGACCTAAAAATCAGAAGACGTCAGAGCTTGACACAGGTCTTATCACCTGACTGATCCAACCTACCACTGTGCAGATGGAGAAACTGAGACCTACGGCAGGAGTGGGGACTTTCATACTAAATTAGTGGCACAGCCTAAAATGCCTTGTGTATAAATGTGATGAACACGTAAGAACTGTCATGGGAAGAGGGGTGCACAGAGTAGGGCAGAATAAAGCCCCTGAGAGGCACCTGGGAGCAGCTATTGAGAACCCTCTAAGGCAGCGGTTCCCAACCTGTGGGTCGCGACCCCTTTGGGGGTCAAACGACACTTTCACAGGGGTCACTGGTTACTCGTATGTGGGTGTATCTGCATGTGGGCCTGGAGACGGGTAGAGGAGCGGTGTCTCGGTTCCTAAGACCATCGAAAAGATGTGTTTTCCGATGGTCTTAGGCGACCCCTGTGAAAGGTTGAGAACCGCTGCTAAGGACTGGAACTGTCCGATGTGGGGTGAGGTAGGTGGGCATTCCTCCACCAGGCTGGCAAAAAAAAAGAAAGTGATCCAACTTTTCCATGAGTAATTAGACAAAATGGCTCAGGAGCCTAACAGACTTGCAAACACCTTGATCCCCTCATTCCACTTCTAGAAAATCATCCTAAGGAAATAATCAGGCCAGTCACCAAACATGTGAATCACAGCATTAGTTATGGTGATAAAAATGGAAGGGTAACTTAAATTGCCAACAAAAGGGGATGACCATTAATTTTGATGCATGCACAGAATGATACCGTGTAGCCAATTAAAGTAATATTTATGGGGTGGGGTGGGGGTATGCCCTGAAGAAATCTGAATGGTCATCAAATAATGAGAGGAGTAAAGCTATGAGGTGATTTCACTTCTTTATACCTTTCTGTGATTTCTGACATTCTTGTGTTTTAAAATAATAAATAGGTATTACTTTTATAGTCACGAAGGTAACAACGCTCTTTCCATTCTGTAAAATAATTGTCCATAACTAAACTGGGTCTCAGGAGGTGGTAGATCCTTGATGGTGGGGGGTCCATGTCCAAGATTTTTACCCAAAGAGACTTTAGCTCCAGCTAAAGAACCCACACTCACAAACTGTGTGACCTCATCCAAGCCCCTTCCCTCTCTGCAGCCCTCCATCCATCTCTAACACAGGGAGCTGATAGCCACCCCATAGGGTTGGGCTGTGGATAAAACAAGAAGGCAAAATAGATGCAGATAGCACCTTCATGCATTATATTTCTCCATCTGATCTCTTCTCCAGAGTATGTGGTCCACCCACCTCCTGCCCTCCCACCCCAACCCCTCACCTCATGAGCCCCAGCAGGTCCTTGAATAGCGGAGTGCTACTGAGGTCTTCCTCCACCGCGATGTCCCTACGGAGACAACAGGCATTGGTGAGGAGGCATCAGGCCAGAAGGGGGACATGGAAACGAGGCTGTCTAAGCCACAGTGGACCTCGACATATTGTTATGGCATGCTGGCTTATCTGGGGGACAGTGGGGGCCACTGCAGAGTTTAAGTGTGTGTGGGGGTGGGCAACATAAGATCTGATTTAGGGCTCAGAGCCCAGAGTGTGATATGGGGGGTGGGGGTGGGGATGGGCAAGGCGGGTGGGCAGGTCCCTCCCTCTATCAGGCCACAAACTTGATGGTGCTGATGGTGTCCTCATAGTAATAGCAGCGCAGCCAGTTGGTGGGGTCGTCTTCCTCGGGGAAGTCCTTGAGGATCTTTACGAAGGACAGTGGAAAGATGCCTGTGGCTCCCCGAACAGTGCCCTGAGGAGGCAAAAAGGGGCTGTTCTGTCTGCGTGAGGAAAGGCGGGGGCCACATCTCAGGGCCCCCAATCCCCATATAATGATGGGGAAAGGCAGTCGAGGTCTGGATCCCCTCATGTTCAGGGAGGAAAAAAAAGCAACCAAAGTCACCAAGTTGTTCATCCCCAAAGGATTTCCGTTTTAGAATAGGTCAAGATCTGAATTTATCCGGAAGTCCGCTATCATCTTTCATTCATTCACTCTATCATTGAGTCCTTCAAAGACTTCTTGAGCACCAGCTATGTGGCTGGCCCTGGGCACTCAAAACAAATCAAAATCCCTGCCCTCCCTCTTGGAACTTTATAATGGGGAGTGACAATGTGCAGGTAAATAGGTGATCTTCAAGGTGAGTGAGAGGGCAGTAGGTGTTACAGAGGAAAATAGAACTGGGAGGGAGAAGGTGGGGTGGTTCCTACTCATTCATTCATTCCACAGATAACACCAAGCACCAGTGTTAGACCAAACAGCCAGAAATCTCTCTCCCCTAAATTTCAGGCCAAGACCCAGCCACTGCCTGTGCTTTGCACGTATGTTCTTAGTCTTCACAACCCTATGGAAGATGCATTATTTATGTCCCATTTTACAGACATATAAAGTGAGGCTCCAAGTAGGCCTCCCCTGACCCTCCCCTCAATCTGATGCCAGAAGTTGGTCAGCATACTAAGACAAAGAACTTTCCAGAAAACAGGAAGGCAACCAACATTTCCTGTTTCTGGAGAATGACCCAGCGATACCCCTCAGGCAGCTGTCAGAGCTGATGAGTGCCTAAGATAGAGCTCCAGGACTGGGATGAAATCAAAACTGCCAAGTCGGCAACATGGCTGGTCCTCGAGCCTCTCCAGCTCTGGTGCCAGGAACCCTCCTCTGCCCTCAGTGGTCCCCCTGGGGGGACAGCCTCCTTCAGACACCACCCCTCAGGAGCTCTGGGAGAAGGGACCTTGATTAAGAACAGTAGGACCAAACCCAAAAGGCTGGCACCAGGCCAGGGCCTCCCACCCTGTGACTTGCCATCTCCATTCACTGAGTCACTACGAGCCCTTGTATGGGCCATGCTGGCTGCATGTGGGGACAAAGCAACGACCAAGACAGGCCCTGGCTCCAGAGACCCAGGTAACTCTCTCAGCAGCCCTGGCACCAGCCAGATGTCACGCACGCACCCAGGCTCTCCACCGGCCAAGCCCTGAACATCTGCACACCCTTTTGCCCTTTCAGGAACCCTATGAAGAAATTGCCAGCGTTGCCTCATTTAACAGAAAAGGAAACTACAGAATTGAGCAAGTTTTCCAAGGTCACAAAGCTAGTTAAAAACAGAGCGAGGATGTGATACCAGACAGGCTGATGCTAGAGCTCAAGCCCTTCACTGTTATCTTTTCTTGCTGCCTGCAAGGCCAATAGTGTTATCCCAGAGTACAGACCAGTGCATTTCAACTGGGGGTGATTTGCCCCCAGGGCCAAATGTCTGAAGATTTGAATGTTGCAACGGGAGGGGTGCGACTGGCATCTACCCACTGGTAGAAACCAAGGATGCTGCTAAAGATCCTACAATGCACAGGACAGCCTCACAACAAAGAACAACCTGGTCCCAAAGGTCAAGAGTGCCAAGGCCAAAAAACCCTGTGATAGACCAGGAAATTAAACTCAGTGGGTTAACTGACTTGCCTGAAGGAACCGTTTCTTGGGGTCAGAACTAAAGGCAAGTGTGGGCTCCAGAATCTTCTGTCCGGCCACACACCTGTCTCCCAGTGGCTCTATTCCCTCAGGCTTCTCCCACTCACCTGCCCAGCTCTCCAGAGCTATCCTCAACCTGCATCTCCTCCCTGGGACCTTCTCTGACCCCTCCTCATTCTCTGATCCCCCCACCAGACCCAAAGCAACCTCACCTCCACTCTCAAGTCAAATCTCATCTGCATTCTCACCCCCAACCTCACCTCCACTCTCACCTCCACCCTCACGTCCACCCTCACCTCCATTCTCACCTCCACTCTCACCTCCACCCTCACATCCACCCTCACCTCCACCCTCACCTCTAGCCAGTCCTTGTTGATCCGACTGAGAAGGAAGATCACATCTCCAGCTTTGAAACTCAGCTCCAGTTTGCTGTTCCCAGTGAAGTCAAACAGGGCCTGGGAAGAAGGCTGGAGTAAGGCGGAGGGAGGGCACGTTCACTGAGCTCCTGCTAAGGGCTTACATACTTAGGGGTCTCATTTAACAGGTGAAGAGACTGGGGTTCAGGGAGGATGAGTAACTTGTCTGAAGCCATGCCACTCGCTAGTGGAGGAACTGGGATTAGAGCCCAGGTCTTCCTGACCCCGGAGTGGGTGCTCCTTTCAGACCTGGTGTAATGAGCACGGAGACAGAAGGAGCCAGTCTCCCTCGATCCAGCACCTTCCCCAGCCCCCCAGGCCTCAGTGTGGGCTCCAGGGCTCCCAAAACTCCCCAGGCGCTGACCACACTGGTTCTGAAATGCACGTTTTTATGTGTGTGTCCCCAGGGAGTTGTGAGTTCCTTGAAGACAGGACCTTGTCTGAGTCATCACTGAAGCTTCTGTCCCCAAGTGGGGCTGGCCCAGAGGGGTCCCGGAAAAGCTCGATGAGTGAATGAGGAGTGCACACACGCTCTTCTGCCTCTGGGTGCCCATCGCGTCCCCTACTCTCAGCTGGGCTGGGGTCCACAGTGTCCACGGCTGAGGCTGAGGCCCTTCCTCCCTGCAGCCCCATCCCAGGCACAAGTGGGCGCCCAGCAGGAGGAGCTCGGTGGCTGAGGGTGTAGCAAGGTTGCTGCCCAGAGGCGATGGGGGGGGGCCTGGCCCGCGGGGTACCTCTGCTCGTGGAGCTGCCATGCGGTCTAAGCCAGCACCTTGGGAGGACTCAGTCTTGCTGTGGAGAGAGAAGGGGGGCTGTCAGCCCTTCTGGTTCTCTTGGGGGGCTGGCTCTCTGCCTCTGCACCAGAGGAGACCCTCACCAGAGGCAGGAAAGGTCAGGGGAAGAGCAGATGTTAAAAATGCAGCTACAGTTGCTCCTTTGGGTCACACACTTCCCCCTCCCCCCGTTCTCACTGCTCCTGAAGGGGAGACTGTACCCCTTTTGTACACCAGGAAGCAGAGGCCGAGAAAGGAGGTGAGGAGGAGGATGCCTCTGTTTAGCACCATAACTTGCCAAACATTTCACATTTCATTTCTTCTACTCCCTACACCCAACCTCTGAAGTCATGCTATTATTCTAATGTTTCAGCCCAAGATGCAGGATTGGAAACAGGATAAGCCCCGTTCCAGAGCCCAGGGCTGCTGTGTGACACGGCTGCGATTCAGCCTGTGCCTGCCTGCCTGGGTGCACTGGGGCAACGGCCAGGCACCTAGAGGATACTCAGAGATACTGGCTGCAGGAAGGAGGAAGCAGCAGGGCTGGGAGGAGGTCGGGGCTCAGGATTCGGGAGCACCGTCCCTGGAATTCTCAGGAGCAGCACCCTTGCCTTTGGAGACCCAGCACTATTTCAGTGGCTTGGATTTTCAGTGATTATTTCCTGCTTAGGAGGGGGCTGGGTGGGAGTGGAGGGCTCTTTGGAATAAGGGAGTGAGTGGCAGCCTCCCTGGGGGCCAGCGTGGAACCAAAGCCAACTCCTCCAGAACTAAAAGGAACCAGAGACAAGGCTGCCCCGGAAATGCTCAGAGAGTTTGCAAATAGCAGGGCTTCTCCCTCCTCTCCCCGCCGCCCCCCCCCCACTCTCTCCAAGCACCCAGAGTCCTCGGACCATCCCCAGTGGTGGCTGTGGCACTAAACCCTTCCCATCAATGGCCGAGCCCCTGTCCTCAGGTCTTACTGTTGCACACACCAAAACGCGCCCACCTTCTGTCCCCGAAGCCCTGACCTCAATGTCCCAAGCTCTCTAACAAGCCGAACATCCTGGAGTGCTCAGGGATAGAACTGATCTCCGTTCCTTCCCTTCCTCCAGGAAAGAGGGGGCCAGAGTGCCTGGTTAGGAGGAAGAGGCCCAGGGTTCTGGCTATCGACAGTGCAGGGACCCCTCACTTACACTTTCCGGGTGCGCGGGCGGAGCCGGCGGAGCGCCTGGGGCACCTGCTCTGAGTCATAGGGCGACTGATAGAAGAAGATCCGGACATCTTCGTCCATCAGCACCCAGATGGGCAGGCTGAGGAGGCTCTAGTTTGGGCGAGAGGGCAGGACGGGGTGGGGTGGTCAGCAGAAAGGTCTGGACAGCCCAGTCCAGCCGCTCATCTTCCTCCCCCACACTGGACCCTTCTCGCTACCAGCTAGTTCTCCGCCTGGTAACAGAAACAAGATATATTTTCACATTTTCAGGCTAAGGTAACATTTCACAAGCTTTGTTCCCGGGTTCAAGGCGAGGAGGGGTGGGCTTGAGAAGCGTTCATTTGGAAAAGACCAAAAGGCCTCCAGACACAACGATAAAGGTGATGACATGGTGGCGACTGTCCGGGCAGTGCACTGAGTGCCCCACCGTGTGACCTGCCTCCATCTCATGGTAACCTGAAAGTTAGGGTCAGAGATGTGAAGGGACCTGCCCAAGGCCACACAGCCTAACAAGTGACAGAGCTGGGGCACCCAGAGCCGTCTGCTATCAAGGCCCATCCCTTAGCTCAAAATGAGACAATCGTGGGGGGTAGGGGTCCCCCAAAGAATCCAAATTAACAACAGTTGGTGATATTATGGCCTAAAACACACTTCCTGATACTCGATCTCATATCACAGATGGGGACACTGAGGCTCAGAAAGGGAAAGCGCCTGGCCCGGTTGGCAGACCCGGGAAGCGGTGGGGTCGGCACTTGCACTCCATTCGAGGCTGGTTATACCACCACGATGCAAAGCCCCTGAGGCTGTGAGGACCCAGAACCCGGCAAGGTCACCCCCAAGCCACACACTGCACAGGTCCCCACCCCTCAGCCACACACTGCACAGGCCGCTGGAAACACCGTGGCTGGCTCTGGGTACTGTAGCCCTATAGGCACCCAGAACCCAGATCCCCTTAGAGAATCCCACGGAGACAGCAAGATGGGAGGGGCTGGGGAACTCCATCTCAAAATTACTGTTTGGGGGGGTGTGGGGGAGGGAAACTGTGTAAGGATGAAATAAGTGAATATGCGTACAACACTTAGAACAGCACCGAGCATCTAGCAAGTGGCCCATCAGAGTTAAGTATTACCAAACAGTCAACATCAGAGCAAAGATTAAAGAGACTGAGTGCTCTTTAGCTGTGAGAGTAGAAGAGGAAGGGGGGGCCTCATGTCTGTGAGGACGCCTCTGGGCTATGAGGAGGGCTTCCTTCTCCAGTTTCCTGAGGTTGCCACCTAGCCATGGTTTGCATGCCTCTAGTACAGGGGTGCTCACTACCTCATGAGGACCAGTGTCCCCTTCTTGCATAGCTCTGTTTGGTGGGAGGCCTTTCCGGGCCAGCCTGCTCTCTGCCTTTAACATGCTCCTCCCTCTGTGCTCCCATCTCCTAGGGATGCAGACAGTTTATGGGGTTGGGGAGTACACAAGGGCACCCAGCCATGGCCTATGAATGCAACTGACATCCAGCCTGTGCCCTGGCAAGGGGGCTTTTCTCTAGTTCGCACAAGGGGCTCTGTGAGAGAGCTGGCGCCCTTGCTCATCAAGCCCCCGTTACACAGGCCAGGCCGCTCTGTGACTTCATGACCCACCTGACAGTATTCTACTGGGCAGTGGACACCTCGGGGGCAGGCACCAGATCCCACTCACGTCTGTATCAGAATGCCTGGCCCAGACATTAGATTTGTCAATTCAAAGTGTGGCTCGTTGTACCTTCTCCACGGCTCCTTCGCCATCCCTTCCCCCATCTCCGGAACCCTGAGACACATCCTGTTTCCCTCCCCAGGCCAGGCCTTTCAGGACTGAATTTGCAGGCTATTGGAGCAGGAGAACCAGCCCCAGTTCCCAAAGCCACGCCCAGAGATGGTACCTGGGCTATCCCTCCCAACATCCTGTGCCCTCCCAGGTGCCAGGGTGGCACGGCCCTGCTGTTACCTTCATGTAGGCGTTGAGGGCAGGTATCCGCGTCTCGGCGATCTCCTGTTTCACACCCATGTAAACTTTGGCTGAGGAGAGGCAAAGAGCCGTCCTGAGAGCCCCGCCCAAGAACACGGTCTCTGGGGTCCTCCCCGCTCTTCCTCCTCGCCTGAAGTGGCCACTGTGGACCGTCCCACCATCCAACTGGCATTCTCTGAGCTGCACTATTGTCAGCTGTTATTTTTGTTTTAACTGTTTATGTATTCCTTATCCACCCCACACACACACACACACACACTCACACTCACACACAGAGAATTCTTAGCTCCAAGAGAACCGGATCTTTGCTTTGCTCACAGCTGTATTCCCATCACCTAGGACAGTGGTCTTCATCCCTGGCTGCATAGTCAAGTCACCCGAGGAAGATTAAAAATCTTACTGTGTGGGACTCACCCCAGAGCGATAAAATCAGAATTTCTAGGGGTGGGACTTAGGCATTGATTGGGATTCTTTAAATCTCAAGTGACTTCCAATATGCTGCTAAGGTTAAGGACCATGGGTCTAAAATATTGCCCAAATCAATAAATATTTTTGAGTGGATGAATAAATTATTGCTCAAAAGCAAGGCCCAAGTGTTTGGGGGTAGGGCGGGGGGGCATGGAGGGTGGGAGAGGGCAACAGACAGTGGCTGGCCAGAGACAAATGTCCTCTCCAGGAGCCCCAAGCCGGGGGCCCCCGTGGAACCGCCTGCCCTGACAGCCCTAGCCAGAAGGAGAACGCAAGCCCTGTCTGGCTGTCACTGCCCACGAGGCAGGCAGGAGGGTATCATCTGAGGTCAGGGGTAGAAATGACATTGGAGAGTTAGTAGCCAGAAAAGGACAATGAAAGGCACTAGGAGGGGCTCAGATTGCCTGGGGGTGGGGGGTATAGGGAGTGAGAAGGCACAGGTACAGAGAACGCCACCTTCCAAGAAGCCACAGAGGCCATTTCTGTAAGGAGGCGTTGGAAGAGCAGCCGGTGAGGTAGGAAGGGAGCTGGGAGACAGCGGCTCAATAAGAGGTTGGCGAGAGCTCCCTGGAGGAGGAAGCAAGATAGTGAAGATGAGGCCTGAGATGTGTCCATGGAAGTCAGAGTTCACAGGTCACGGGCCACCATCCCAAGGGGAATTCCGTGGAGTGGTGAGAGCTGAAACCAAGCCCGTGGGTTTGAGCAGCTGGTGGGAGATGGGAAGGTAAGAGAGAGGGCGGAGATTTATGGTAAACAGAAGAAAAGGAGATCTTGGAGGGTTCTTGGGGCTCAAGGAGGCTCGTTGCAAGAGCGCTTACTTACGGCGCATGTTTGTTTAAAGATGGAAAAGAGCTGAGACTGGGTAGAAGCTTGGCAGAGTCAAGGCAAACGGAGAAGGTGAGCATTGGAAACACGGGGCCAGCTGTCAGGGGAAAGCCTCCAAAGAGAAGAGGGGTCAGCTGAGAACAGGAGAGACCCCCCTTTTCCCTGCAGCCCAGAGAGGGGAAAGGGGCCAGTGTAAGCAGAACCAGCTTCAAACGAGGAAAAGAGAAGCCAGGAGCCCCTGGGGGACAGCTTCATCTTCCTGTGGAGCTGAATGCGAAGCAACCGTGGGCATTTGCTGAGACAGAACGAAAGAGCCAGCGGAGGTGGGGTTTGAGCTTGAAGAAGGCAAGGGCAGGAACGGTCTCTGTTGTTTGGGGGAAGGATGCTCCTATGTTGCCTGCAGGGCGCGGAGGGCACTCAGAGACCACACAGGTGGGTATTTCTCCTGCAGGGCTCAAGAGGGCAGGTGCTGAGAAGTCGGAGCTTTGGGCAAGTCCAAGGTGCAAGTTAGGACTGAGCTGGGGAGGAAGACCAGGAGGCAAGGGGTGAAGGGACTGTCCAAAAGCAGAAGGGTGATGCCCACAGCATCTCAGCAGAGCAGAGAAGGAGGAGGAGCCGCAGGGACTGGTGGAAGCTGCGACTGCAGGGGTACAGGGCAGTTCTCACAGAAGGGCCAGAGGGGGTGCTGGCAAATGAGTCTGTGTTCTGCTAGGAAGACACAGGACACCTGACTCGGTGGGTAGAGGCCGGTGCTCCTGGGCTCCACACCATGGCCTCTGTCACTGGTGGATAGCTAAAGCCATGAAGGTCATTGGAGCACAGAAGGTCAAGGGCTACGAAGCCGGAAAGCTAGAGGTGGCAGCCTGTGATGCCAGGAGGGGGCCATGGACTCAATGGATGGTTTTAACATGGGCTAAAATAGAATAACCGGATAGTGTCAGCATAGCAGGATCGCCGATGGATGCAGCTCCAACCTGGGGAGGGAGGCCCAGCGGGAAGCGGCACGGCGACCGGCCAGCCTACCTGGGAGGGCGGGAAGACTGCAGGTAAAGGGGCTGCTCTTGCTGTCTGGCCCGTATCGCTCCTCCAGCTTGCTGTGCAAGGCGTAGAACTGGCGGTAGCGGCGGTAGATGAGGTACTTGGAGCCCCCTTTCGTCTTCACTTCGATGACGAAAACCTAGGGAGGACAGAGGCCAGGGGGTAGGGCCTCGGCAGCCAGAGACAACAGAGGGAGAGGTTCAGAGGTCCTAGGGTTAGCGCAGGGTTTCTCAGCCTCCAATCTGACATTCGGGGCCAGATCATTCTTTGCTGTAGCGCCATCCTGAGCACTGTAGGGTGTTGGGTATCATCCCTGGGCTCCATTCCCTAGATGCCAGCAGCACCTCCACCCCAAGTTATACTAATGAAAAATGCCTCAAGATGTTAACTGCCAGATGTCCTCTGGAGGGCAAAATCCCCCTGCTGAGAACCACTGGGATAGAAGTCAGGAGATGAGAGAGTTGAAGATTCAAAGGGTAAAATGTTCAGAGGTCAGATCGGTAGAGTTTCAGGGTCAGAGGGTGAAGGTTCGGGGGTCTCTCTTACAAAGTGGCTGGTGAAGCCCCTCTTCTCCTCAATGTCGGCAACGTTGGCTGAGATGGCAACGTCATCGGGAAGCTGTTCAAAGTCGCTGAGGGAGGAAGGAGGAAAACAGCCTGGTCATCACCCTGAGGTGTCGGTGGGCCCACAGAGTGGGAGCAAAGTGAACCCAGGTGCATTCGACATCCCTCATTCAACACCTGTTCTCAGGCCAGGACACAGGCCAGACCTCCAGGGTGCAGGCTCCAGGACATGGCGCCATACAACAACAGCCATGCTATAGTCTAGCAAATCGCTGGACGACCGCATTACCCATCCAGGACCAGTGCTTTCCTGATCCCCAGGGATGGACAAGGCCTGCACGGCCTCCTCCCCTTCCCCCTTCTGCCTGCATGGAAAGCACATGTGACATCTGGACCTGCAACAGCCACATTGCATCCATGAGGCAAAAACACAAAAAGACCAAAGGAATTTCTGGGATGCTGGTCCTGAAGTCACTGAGCTGAAGAATCAGCTGTGAACCTCTGGGTTTCTTGTGATATGAAAAAAAAACAAAAAAGAAACCCAAAAAAAACCCCACCATATTATCGGGTCCTCTGTTCCCTGCAGCCTTAGGCATTTCCAATGGGCGGGCATACTACCAATTTGCCAGTCATTCCTGAGCTATGACTAGCAGGGTTTGGGGACTGTTTGGATGTGAAGGTGAAAAAAAAAAAGGCAGTGTCAAGAGTGACATCCAGGGCCGGCCGAGTGGCGCGATGGTTAAGAACTCGCTTGGGATGCCAGAGGGCCCCGGTTCGGATCCCACATATGAGGGCCAGTGAACACTGCCCTCTACAGCTAAGATGCTGAACAACAGCTCAACCTGGAGCTGGGCTGCCATGAGTCGCTGGTGACGGCGTAGGCTGCAGCCCCTGTGGCAGTGGGTTGCCATGGGCTACCGTGTGTAGCCAGCAGCCAGCGTGAGCGGCCGGCCAGCCGCCGCAGTGAGCGGCCGTCCAGAAGCCGGCGACTGATCTGCCTCGCCCGGGAAGAGCGCAATGATGGTGCCAACTTGGGCCAGTGAAGCAACGTCCTCCACAACTAGACTGAAGAACAAAACGACAGCAACTTGTCTGTTCCCCTTCCCCAATCTCCCAGCACTGTTCCCATCCCCCCAATTCCCCAGTAAAAATCTTTAAAAAAAAAAAAAAGTGACATCCACATGCGACCCATATTCTGACCAGGATGGGAGGAGAGCAGGATGGATGGACTCGGTTTCAGGCGTGCTAAATTGAGAAGAGCTGGTGTGAGGCCTTGGAGCTAAGGGAAGGGGGGCATCTCAGCTGCGGTGGGAGAGGTAAGAACTATCTGCCTGTGACTTGTGGCTAAGGCACCCAGAGAAGAGCAGTGAGCAGAGGAGAGGGCTGAGAGGGGCAGATGGAGGAAGAGAAGACACACAGCCGAGGAGATGGAAGAGGTCGCAGGGTCCAGCCACTTGCAGACAGCTGAGGCAACAAGAAGCAATTATGACTCTATTTTTGTAGCAATTGGGAAACAGGGAGGGAGTTGGGGGTAGGGCCAGGGGTTGCCACATCAGAGGCCTCAGAGCTGGCCAGGACCTCAGGAGAAACCTGTTTCAAAGTCTGCACACCTAGTCCCAGCCCCTGCTGGTCCTCACGTGACCTGGACTGCTTGGAATCTCAGGTTACCTCGGGACGCAGCTGGAGGCTGCCATTGGGAGGTGACTCAGGGTGGCAGTGGGCAGGCAGAGGGAATCCCCACTCCCAGAGCAACTGGGTGGCCACCGGCAACCTCCCCACTCACTTTCCACACATGCCTCTATGGTGACACCCTTGGGAGACGCTTCCTCCTCCACTTTCTTCCCTGAGGCTGCAGATTTCATAGGTATTTCATCTGCAGTATGATGGGGGTGGGGCAGGAAGGAACCAGAGGGGTAGAAATGGCCTTGCACAGGGAGTCAGGCAGGTTGGGCTATTTCCTGAGTGCGCACTGGACACAAGGCACACTTCTAAGACTGTGTCACTTTGTGACAGACAAGGAAACTGAGGCACAGAGAGGTCAACAAACTTGCCCAAGTAAGCTGAGAGGCTGGGCTGCCCCTAGTTTGAAGCATGAACTTAGATAAATCCCAGTCTCAGTTTCCCCCATCTGAAGTAATAATAATAGCAAGCCTTGTTCGCACACACCGTAGCTCAGACACTTGTTCTGAGCATGTTAGGACATGGTCTGTGCCTGCCTGGGTCTCACGGCTGAGTGGAGCCGTTGGTTGCTAAACAAATAATTACATAATTTCAATGGTCGTAGATGCTATGAAGGAAAAGCACACGGTGTTTCGAGCTGCAGCAGGAGCCTGGCCGTTACTATTGTCTCTCTGAGAATCAGTACGCAGCAGGCAAGAGAGCTTGGCACTTGTAAGATGGGGGTTATGTCCATCGGAGAGAAAAGCAGGGCGTTGTGCGTGCATGACGGCCAGGCTTGCTCAGACGGAGGGTGGTCAGGGAGGGCTTCCCAAAAGAAGCAGCACTGGGTCAGTGGGGAGAAGCAAAGAGGAGCTGGCCACAGGACCACAGGCAAGGCAAACAGTGAGTGCCAGAGGCCCTAGCCATGCAAGAAGGGCAGGTTCAAGGAACTGGGGGGCTGGTGGGGGGGGCGGTGTCTGAGTGTGGCTGGAGCACAGAAAGAGGAGGAGAAGATAATGCGAGACAAAGCCAGAGAGACAGGCAGGGCCTACTCATGAAGGGCCCTTGTGCCTTGCCCTGGGGTGGTGGTGGCACGGAGGGGTTATGTTGGGAGGGCGCAGGAAGAAGATGAAGACCCGAACCCCCACTCTGCCATCACCAGCAGGGACCTTGGGAAGACCCCTCTCTGAGCTCTGGTTCGTGTCCCCTCTGTAAAATGGAGACCATAGAAGTATGTACATCCCGGAAGGGTGGGGAGGCCCCAGTGTAACCAGCACAGCTCGAGAACCCCCGCGAGAGCAGGGACCTTGCCCACTCTGCATCCCCAGTGCCCAAAACAGCACTGGTCACATAGTAGGTGCTCATAAGGGCTGCTCCCTGTGTCTGTGTTTTAGCAAGTCCTCTGGTGGGCAGCATGGGAGTGGCCTGGCTGCCTGTGCAGCCAATCCGGAAGCTGCTGCACTGGGGTGGGAGCAGAGGTAGAGCAACCCTGACTGGATGTCCCCCCAGAATAGCCACTCCCCTAAAGACCTCAGCCAGGACCCCTCAAAGCTGAAGTCAATTCAGGTCCCCTTAGGCTGGGATGCTCAAGGCTTACACACACTCATGTTGTTTACGAAAAGTCCACTTTAGAGCCTAGACAAGAGAGGCCAAAGGTTGGAAAGACATTTGGGTGGCAGCTAGTTCAGGTTTTGTGGCTCCTGCACACAGTAGGTGTTCAAAACATGTTTGTTGGAAACGAACACAGTCTCTTCCACCTTTAGACCGCTTGGATCTTAGAAAGGCCTGCTATGGGAACTCTGTTGCAGGATCCTCTGCTTTGGCCTCAAGCAGAACACACGTAAGGCCTGCTTTCAAACAAGGCCTCTGAGGTGCAGGGAGGCCAATGACCCCAGGGTCTGGATCTACAGCCCCATGAAGGGCTGGAAGAGGCGGGCATCCTCTTCTGAGGGGCAACGGGGGCTGGAAAGGGACAGGGAGTGGGAGGAAGGGAGCACGGGGTCCTGCTGGCCAGATCTTGGCGTCATCTCTCGGATCCACGTACCCCGGGAAATAGGAAGTGCCACAAGCCTCCAATAGCAGCTGTTTCCTGAATGTTCGGGTGCATGTGCCAGGCCCAGAGGACCTGTAGGCGTGAGGGGCTGGAATCTGAAGGAACGACCTCACCCCGGGCCCCCAGCACCACCCTCTGTGGCCATTCTTGATCTGCCCTGTAAGCGTTGGCCTCTGCAGCCTCTCAATCCACACAGCCACTGACAAGCCTCCCTCCTGACGTCCAAACTTTGGAAATCCCACCCCAGGTTCCATTTCTAGCCCAATTCCCCCTTTTGGGCCTTTTGCTGCACACTTCGGCCCAAACCAGCCTGACCCGTCTCCCATGACCCTCCAAGTCACTGACACACAATTAGCACACTCTTTTTCTGATGTCGCCCGCTATTCCAATTCCAGAAGGCAGGAGCCAAGCCCTGTGTCCTCAGGGTCCCCGCAGCTTGGAGCAGAGGCCCAGCTGCTGAGGAAACACTCATACAACGCTGCTAGAGAGGAGGCTAGGTCCTGGGGAGACAGTGCTCCAAGCCCCAGCCTTGCCACTCACTCCCTCTGCCCCGAGAAAGTACATTATCCTCCTTGGGCCTCAGTTGTCTCATCTGTACAATGACAGGATTGGACTAGAAGGATCTAAGGACGTTTTCCAGCACAAAGATCCTCACTCATTCATTCAGTCAGCAGCATTTACTGAGCACTTAGCCTGTACCAGCATTGTTCTATATCCGAGGGATACAGCATGATCAAAACAGACAAATACTTTACCCTCATCGAACGTACTTCTAATGGGGAGCCAGCGATGAAGAAAACAAATAAATGCATCTAGACTATTATGCCAGTAATAGAAGGACTGTACAGAAAAAGGGAACGGGGCAAGGGGTCATAGAGAAATGAGGGGGCAGTCAGGGAAGACTTCTTGGAAGAGGTGATATTTGCGCCCGGTCCTAAATAAAGAAGGAGAACAACCCAGGTTCTGTGCTTCTGTGTGAGCAGACAATGAAAAGCCATAACTGACCACGATGCAGAGCAGTGAGCCCAGCCTGGTACCCAGATCACCTGAGTTGCTGTCCAGACTCTGCCACTCACTCCCGTGTGACCCTGGGGAAGTCACTCCCCCTCTCTGAGCCTCATGTCTTCGTCTGTGCCTGAGGGAGGTGAACCGCAACTTAGTTTCCTTAAAACAGTTCTAAGAGTCTGTATTTCTGAGTATTTGGGTTCTGACTCAACTCCAGCCTCTCAACTTTCGACATTGATAAGGGGCTGCAGGAGGGCCTACCTCCATCCCCCAAGGCCTGCTGGGAACCGCGGGGAGGCTGAACAAGGACAGCACCCCTGCACTCACCTCTCAGCCCGCAGCTGCTGGGCCACGGCCATGGCCGTCAGTGGTCCAGGGGAGTAGGTGACAGAGGGTCTCGCCCAGCCAGACCCAGGCTGAGTTCTCCTCTCACTTCCCTCCGGCCACCCTGTGTCTGGGCTGTGGTCCCAGGAGCCTCCAGAAGTGACCTTTGGGGAGGTCCCACCCCTGCTTCTCTCAACTGTAGAAGAGGCCCCTCCTCCAGGTTCTCTAGATTTAGCGGTCGCCCTCACTTCCTCTTCCCCATGTCCCAGCTGCACTGCAATTGGGGAAGTGCCTACCCTCAGACGCTGGGTTTGCAGGAGTCCTCTGATTTGGGGGCTTTAGGGACTCCTTCGATGATAGTTCTTGGTGCCAGGCCTCAGCTGAGCACCAGAGAGCTCCAATCCATCACAGACAGAGTCCCAGGTGCCGGCTCAGCCACCAAGGGGCCTGCCTTGTGACCTTGAGGAGCCACTCCTTGTCCTCTGGCTCATCAGACCCAACCTGAACACCCTCAGTGAGACTCTGCCCAAGTGAGTCCCTAGGCATGGAGTGCTGGCCTCTGCCGTGCCTGCCATCCCGCAAGCCCAGCTCAAATGCCATCTCCTCCAAGAAGTCTCCCTGGTTCCCCCGACAGAGTCAGTGCTCACAGATTCCTCCTATTAGAGTGTGAAGTATAACTGCAGGTTATACTTCCCTCGCCCCTAGATCCACAGGCCTATGCAGGCCTGGCACAGCCAGTCCTCTCTGCAGGGCAGCCAGCCAGAGTGAGCTGCACTTACAAACCTGACCACACCTTCCCCTGCTGAAATGCTTCAACTGTTCACCCTGCACCGAGGAGAAAGTCCACACTTCTAGCCCTGCCTGCCTCCCTCCGAGGCTCTGAAGGAACCGCTAGCTTCCCCAGGCCCCTCTCCCAGGCTCTCTCCTTCCCACTCTGGCCTCCGTTCCATTTCTAGAATGCTCCAAGCCGTCTGCTCCTCGGGGCCTTTCTGCGTACTTGTCCTCTGTTGGGATGCTCTTCCCTGCCTCCTTGAGGGCTCGACTTGGCAGTCACTTCTTTAGCGAGGCCCTCCCTGACCCTCAGAATGAAGCTCCTCCCTGTGATATTCTCTCCTACATCCCTATGCTTCTACTTCAGAGCATTTGGAACTACTGTCATTTCATATTTGTCTACGTATTTATATGTTTAACGACTGCCTTCCCAGCTAGCACAATCCCTGGCACATTGCAAGTACTCCATCAGTATTCAGGGAGTGAATTGGAACGCTTCTAGTTGGTGATTCTGTGGCTCCGCTAACATGTATTGCTACTGGATTCTGAAGGGGGCTCTCTGAGAAGTCCACAGCCACACCCAGTAACCCCAGCCGGTCACACTCACACACTCACATTCACAACCGCTCATGCATTACAGACGCAAAGCAGAAAGACAGCAGAGAGAGGCCATAGATGACAATGCAGCCACGCCTTGGGTCCATGAGTCACAGAATGGGCCTTTCTGGCTCCCTCTGCCCCAAACCCACGCTGCCTTATGACTCCCAGGACAGGGACAGGTGTCCGTGTGGACAGAGCCACCTGGGTGGAGCCTAGAGCCAGGGTCTCCCGCTGCAATCCCTTTGTCACCTCCCAGACTAAAGGACTGGGGACGGGAGCCATCTTCAGGATCCCGAGGGCTGTCTGGCTCCACGAATGCCCAGCAGCGAGCAGCCTCAAGCCCTTCCCCTGAACCTGGTCCTGCTCCTCCCAGCTGCCCCAAGGGACCTTCTGCTCCAAATAGAGTTCAGGGTGAAGCAGAGTCCCCAGGAGGGAACGTGCTCCAGGCCCAGTCCTGCAGCCCTGAGCCAGGGTGATGCCCACTCGTCATCCGTCCAGGCCAGGGCCAAGGGCTCTTCTGACAGCAAGATCCCTATGGACTCTTCGGGAGGCAGGGCCAGAATCGGGGAAGGACAGAGGAGAGGACAGAAAGGAGACAAAGAGAGAGAAATACTCAAACAACCATTTATTGAGCAAGGTGTTTGGAATACAGAGATAAATTAAGATGGCAGGGCCAACACAAGTTAAAAATTCCCATCCTCCCCCAGGCACATAAAAAATGCTGGATGGTATATTTTTTATATTTTAATCACACAGTGCCCAGCTCAAAAGCAAGAATTTTCAGGTTCTAGGAGAGGAGGAACCTCTACCAGTGAGAGAGGCTGGTGTCCCACACCCCGCGGGAAAACCAAGGGTGGATAAGTTGCTGGGGCTGAGATTTTAATGCTAACCTGGGTTTACGTAGGTTCTGGCGATCGGTCCTGCTGTTGGCAGGAAGTCAAGCTGAGCTCCCAGAGTGAAGATGGGTGTCAGAACTGATTAAAGGAACAGAATTTCTCAGCTGTCAGCATGGGTGGCTGCAGGAATTGAGAATAATCTCCCAGCCCATGGATGGCACAAGTAATAGGGATACCAGATCAGAGCCTCAAGCCTGAAACATTCTCTGGGGTGAGGCCCAGATCGAAGTTACCCACTTGGCGCAGAACTCCCCATCTGAGGCATTACATCAAAATAGCCTGGAGTCCATGAGCCCGCTGGGGCAACAAGAAAACTGCTCTGTGAGCTCACAGCCCCAAATTATGAGTCATACAAAGAGCACCTATGCTGTGAAAGACAGCTTATGGACTCAACATGCTGAAGAGTCCACACCTGAAGAACTAGAAATAATGCAAACGATGACTCCGCCCCGTCACTGGTGTCTCTGGGCTTTCAGTCTGAGGATGAAACCATTCAATGAACAGCAATAGGCTTAAGTGTGGCAGATGTGGCAGGTAAGTGCCTCGCCATGGCTGGGGACGAGGAGGACGCTGGCCTAGAGTTAGTCAGGAAGACAGGAAGTGACATCCATTTTTACAAGTGTGATCCAGCTCTGGCATGTGATTGTGTGTGCTGTCAGATGTTTATAGCTGAAAACACACTGTTGTGCATAAACACATACAACTGTGTAGGCAGGTGCGAGCGTGTTTGTGCCGTGTCTTACACAAGAGCCTGCAGTGCCTATAGTGGCGGCACTGTGAGTATGAGAGGATATATTTAGATGCTCGAATCCCTGTGGGCACATGGTGAGCATAAACATTTATACCACGTGAGCTTGGGCAAGTTCATCTGTCCTTTCTGGTTCTTTCTTTACTGATCCGTAAAACAGGCTTGCTGAATGGGGTTATAGTAAAAATTAATGAAAAAAATGCACGAAAACTACCTATATACCTGAGAATTTCTTATTGTTTATAATTTTTAGTGTGTGTGTGTGTGTGTGTGTGTGTGTGTGTGTTGGATAGGGCAACCCCTCCAGTTCAGCTTCCCAGGTTTCTCGAGGTCTTGCCTTCCTATCCCCCAACCCCGCAACCCCAAGGAGCGTCCCATGACCCTGATTCAGCCACCTCCTCCGCAGCGTGGGGATGAGGTTGCCCAGGGATGGGCTCAGGGCCTGCGGTGGGCCAGCTCTTCCCCGCCCCCTCTCTCCCTTACTTCTGCCCCTGCCCTGGTTCTGCTGAATGTGGGTATTTCTCTAACTCCTCACACACAGAACACCGCTGCTAATTTTATGCCTGAGATCTGATACAGTGTAATTTGAGGCCAGACACTCTGTCAGCAGTGGGCTCCCATCCTAGTGTCTTGTCCCCCCACCTCCACCCCCACCACTGGTCTCCTGCGACTGCCTGGGGGGTGTGGGGGGAAAGGGGGGCAGCAGGGAGCGGAGGCAGGAGAATAGCCTGGAAGAGGGACCAAACTCTTCACACATTCCATTAAGCAAGTATTTATTGAGCTTCCTTTCATGGTGGGTACAAGAAATGCCTGAAGTGGCCTCTCGCATATGGAGAACATAACCTCCAGTCTCCACAGCCTGTGAGTAAATAAACAGCTATTGAACAGCCCCTATCCAGACATTAAAGTTTGTTTGTTTTTCCATAGAAGAAGCACCTCTGGTCCTCTCTTCCTTCCAGGTTATTTGAGAGCACACCCAACCTAACAACCCAGAGATTTTAAGCAGTGAGTTAGGAGGAAGAAAACTGCTAGAGGCAGTCGGAAGCGAATGACAGTTAAGTGACATTCTGACAATGACAAAGAGGATGGAAGGCTGAAAAAAAAATAGGCTCAAGAACTCAAAAACAAACACCAGGTGCCATTCAGAAAAGGGGCATCGCTGCATTATGACAGTTCACTAATGTCCGTTCATAACCACCTCTCCAGGACGAAGTTCAATACGCTTAGCCCATACCTGAAGGGCTCCCAGAGCCTGAATGAGAACTGGATCTCAAAGTCACCAAATGCTCATTTGGATGCTGCGGTACACAAGATTAAAGAACAGTTTAGGGATATGGGAAGGGGAGCATGGTGACCGTTGGGAGCAGGTGAGCATCTTCTGCAGGCCCAGGAGATGCCCCAGGGAGCTCATTATGGGAGCTAAGCAAATGTCCGCTGCCTGAGTCAGCGACTATCCCAGGGAAGAGAAGGAAAATCCCAGCTTAGCCTAGCAAGATTCCAGAAGATCCCTCGCACACTGAATTCCCCAATCCTGACCCACATGTGTCTCCCTTCATAATTTATGAGGGGAACTTCACTGGACCGCCTCCCTGAGCCATAAATAGCCACCCCTGGCAGGCCTCTGTATTTGAAGACAGGGAGGATATGGATGAGGCCAATTAGACAGCAAGCTCCCTGAAGGCAGAAGGCCCTGCCTTTCTCTGGAACACCCCACTGCTCAGCAGAGCGCGTCTGGAATTCGGCTGCCCTGGCTCTGGCACACACTAGCTGTGTATCTTCTCTGACCATCAGTTTCCTTGTTCATTTTCTAAATGGAAATGATAATAGTTGCTTCATAGGATGACTGCATTATTCATTTGTTCAAAATATATTGAGCACCTACTATGTGCTAAACACCTACTGTGTGCCTGGTTCCAAATGAAGGTCATTTTTCTTGTGATACATACCTCCTGGAGGTGTGTTAAATAGGACAATGAATGCCAAGAGCTTAGTACAATGTGTGGCACATAGAAGGAGGTCAACAAATTATAGACATTAATGTTGTGATTATTATTGATGATCATTTCCTTGGTATGGATTGGTCCCTTCTTGGTCTGTCTCCCCTTGAACACCTGGTTCCTCTCTGTTTTAAAACTTATCACATTAAATTCTAATTTCTCCCCCTAA